AAATTACATTTGCTGAATTTAGTTGGCAGTTGTGTAATTAACACATACATGCATTAACCCTTCGGGGTGGCCCAGTGGTTTGGGCTTGGGACTTCCATGTTGGAGGTCTCAAGTTCGAAACCCCTTGCCAGCAAAAGCAAGGGGTTTGCCTTCTGGGTTGAGCTTGTCGCACCGGGCTTGCCTAGTGCGGGTTACCTCTCCTATGTGGTTTGCGAGCTATTGCATAGGAGCGGGGGTTTTACCCTGTGCGCACCCAAAGGGTAGCGGCTGCGAGTTTCCCTTGTCATAAAAAAAAAAAAAACATACATGCATTAACATCTTTACCACACATATAGGTAAATGCCTTACTGACTCAACCAAAGCTATTTGTATGCAAACATTTCAGTATGCTATTAGTTTCTCTTCTCCTTCCAGTCCTTGTCCTTCGAAACATCTCTGCTTCACATTTACTGGTAGGAAATTTATGCAGTAGATTATGTAATTTATTTTCCCTTTTTCAGTTATAAATTTTAATTGTGTTTTTTAACTTTATCATCGGTATGCTTTCAGGTTCACCAAATCTGATGACAAAGATATCAAGATCAACTTGGCAATTTCAGCTGTATTTGTAAGTAGTAAAATATTCATCCCTCCATTCCAATGTGGTTATCTTGTTTGGCTTTTAGGATGCTAGTTTACAAATTGTTGTAGTAAAATCATGGATAAATTCATATATAAGTGTGATTTAGAAAACTCAAAAAATTATATGAAAAATTCTGAAATTGGAAGTATTTTCCTTTCAAAATACAAAAATAGATATGGTTAACTTGAAAAGTGACAATCTTTTGAGACAGAGAGTAGTTATTCCGTCTTCTACAACGGCCTTCTTTTGATTTTTTTCTACTTTAATGTATCTATGGATCTGTTTTGTTTCTTTATTGGTTTTCTAGGTACCTGCCTATCCTCTTACAGTTTTAGTGTTAACTTTTATTAATTGGATAGTTTATATGTGCTTATTCGCATCATTATGGATCCTTGGATGTTTCATAATAGTCATGTATGGAAAGTACAGCTGCGGCAACTCCAAATATTGGTTTCCATTCAAGCATGGCTTGACCCTACATAAAGTGCATGAAAGCTTACTGATGCTTCAACCCGTCTCTACCTGTGTCCACTTCTATGAGTTCTTTTTCAAGTTCTGCACTTTTATTCTTTTGGTAATTAAGGAGTTCTATGGTCAGCCTTGGGGATCTTTTAAGGGTTACCACTATATAAAGTAACCAATCATCAGGAAGAACTGAATCAATGATTTTTTAGTACCTAAGAATTTGTGCTTGAAGGTTCAACCTTGCTTTAGCTGAACCTCCTTTGTTTAAGGCTTCAATCTCTTTGGTGATATTCTCTGTTTCTAAATACTTGATACCAAAAAAGGAAACTATGTATTCCAACGAGAAATGCTTCAAAAGTGCCAGATAAGTAGATAACAGCAGTAATTCACCGGATCTTCCGTCTACAAAAATGGAAGAGATGTATGTTAAGGTCGGCTTCATGAAAGCAAGAAAGGAAGCAAGTTCTGCCTTGCCAGAAAAAAAGAAAGATAACAGAAATAATTTGTTAATCATTGTCACCACTCTCTGTTAAATGCAGTTTTCATTCTTGATTTAATGAAATATTGATCTCGACTCCTAATGGTGCTCTGTTGTTTCATGTATTATCTTTTGCAGATAGCTTGGGTTTTTATAAATCGTAATGCTGAGTGGAAGCCTTTACAGTTTTTGGCCTTCGCCTTTGTATATAGGATATTTGAGAAATTAAAAGCATTTGAGCCTCCAACTCCCACGTTTACAGTAAGTATACTTAAAATAGCATTCCTGTCTTCTTCTGCTAGTGAATGCAATTGTATCTCCTAACATGTCCATCATCAATGTGAAATCTTACATGAAAATCAACATTTCTTTCTCATATTTTGCAATATATAACAGAGATTTATGTGGATTTTATGGGACTGTACATATTGCTTTTCAAGTGCATTCATCTTTCAGCTGGATTTTTTCAGGAGGAAGGCGAAGATGAAGGACGGATGATGAGGATGGGAAAAAGGCTGCTTCGTTCTCTTGCATTAGTTTTTGGTTGCATAGCTATTGCATCCTTGGTATGTTTTCTGTCAGAGTAATATAACCTGACTGTTCAATTTGTTGGTCCATCTGTAAAGTCATTTGAAAGAATCTAATTTTTGCTTTCTGAATCATCTCTCATCTTGGAATGTCCTACATAATTGTTGCCTTTTATTAAATTAAATCTCCGTTATTCATCTGTATAGGGATATACTGGCCTCCTCAATTTTATCGAGTATGCTGGTGGTTTCATACCTGTCTTTCTGTACAACAATCAGGTAAGAGAAGATCTTCCCATTGCAATCTCTACCACCGCTGCACAAACAAAAGGCTTCACAGACCTTCACATATCACAGATAGGATAACAATGTTTTATCATCTTTTTTCGGCATTTATGAGTGTGATTTCTCTGAATAGTTATGACTCCTCTTCATCTTATGAGTAGCTAAAGAAAAATTGCATTCAGTTAGTTTTACTTTACGTAAAGGAATTAAGGCTATGTTTAGTGGAGGAACTCGGTTCTCAAATATCCATGTGGCCGGAGGAGGTTGGATTGAATTTACTCTTAGATACACCATCAATTATATTTTCAATTTGCCATCTATTCTGTCTTAGGACCCGAAACTTCTAATTTAGCCTTCTCGGTGAATGACTCATTTGGTGACGTAGCAGATATACTAGGAAGGCTAAGGCATGTTTTTCCCTCTTGCATATACTTTTTTCGTGTATCCTGCTGCTTGCTTCTGTATACTTGTGCTAGGGTTATAATGTTGAATATATTCAGATTGTGCATTAGGTCCTCTTTTATCTCCACTCAACATGAATATGAAAACGAATAGGCAGGCATTAACCTCAACTTATACAATGCTTTATCCACGGTGTTGAATCTTTTACGCGTGCAGGAATTGCTTGTAACTGGATTCACAGCCGTCGTGCTTCACATCATTGCATCTTATTACAGATAGTCTACCTTCTACACTTGTTGAAGAAGAGATGCAGTTGCCTTGTGTTAGCTGTCAAATTTTGTAATTCTATTTGTTCCAGAAATTTCCCTTGTTTTGTCTATAGGATTGACCAGCTGTTGTAAGGATGCACCAAGTTTTGAGGATTCTAGGATTAAACAAGACCACAATCTTTCACAATTGATTGATGTTAATGTGGAAATATAAATGATAATGAGGAGGAAATATAACTTTTGACTGTGTGTCTGGTACAGAGTCGGAATTTAACCTTCAGGTTTTTAGCATTGAACACATTATTTTTTTGAAGTTATGAGTTCATATCTACTATTTATTGTAATTTTAATATATTTTTTACACAAAAAAATTTACGCTGCACCAAAAGTATTGGATTCATAAGAACTCGGTACAACAAATGACTAAAATAGAGAAATGTTTAACTTAGATACGTTCATATGTATCTCAATATGACTTTTGTGTTAGCCATTTATATTTTGTTTAAAACATAAATTGGTTATGTTTGCACAATATCTTAAAAAGGCCAAATTATAAATGACATCTCATAAAATGTGTAAATTACACTCAATGACCTCGTAAATTGGTGGTCTCAAATTTTGAGTTGTAGTTTTTGCTTGTAAGGCAGAAGTCAAAACTTATGATTAATTGAAAGATCTATCGTCTTAAAATATCTTGTATTTCTATCTTTATTGGCAAAAACTAGAACTTGTGCCTAAGTTTTGTCTTTGTTGTCCATTCGACGAAGTTCTAACTTTTACCTTTAAAGGCAAAACTTGCGTTCAATTAAACAAGTTCAATGTCTTGAAATATCCTTAACTTATGTCTTATAGGTAAAACTAATTTACATCCACAACTTATATTCGGTAGGCAACAAAAGCTTTTCCTAGTGAATTTTCTGAAGCAGAAGATATTTCTTCAATAATTGGTTGAGTGGAGCTGTAAAATCAAGATCACCCTACTGTAAGACCTAGAGTTGTCAAAATGGACCAGCCCAAGCCTCGGAAACCAAGGAATTTGAAGGGCTAGGGCAGGTCAACCCTTCATATGAAAGGGCCTTGAAATAGTCCATCCATCCCAACCCTAGAAGGGTTGCGGGCTAGCCTTTCTTTTCCCCCCCTTCATGTTTCTAATATTTTTTTTCTTTTGAATCTAAATTCAAACTTAAAATTTGTCAATAGTGGGTTGGGTTAGACCGGCCCCATGGGCTAACCCATTTTGACGGCTCAAGTAAAACCATTTGTGAATTTAAACCCAGTCAAAACGTTTTAAAGTTTAAGTTTTTCCCATCAGTAAACGAGGTCAAAAGTTTAAGACCATCCACTTTCGTGGTCATCTCTCTTATAAAGCATGAGAAAACTACCTTATTAGACATACAGTCATTACCATATATACTTGTTCTGTCTATATTTTCAAGTAATTGCGTATTTACCACTAATTAAGAGTTTCCTACCATATAATAGGAAGATACACCTAGATACATGCATATTTGCCGCCACATACACTAAAATAGGGAGAGAGGCGAGCGAGATAGTCATGGATATCATATACATGCGAATCACACTCTATGTATTAGGGATACCATATACATAGGAGAGTGGTGAGCGAAATGGGGGGGTGGCGAGGGAAATTTATATATACATCTCGAATATACCTGGATATAGTGTATCTAGAACAAATTACACCTAATTTAGACCTCATGTATTTCGAGATATATGTAGCTAGACGTATCTTGATGCACAAAAATCTGATAAGATTCGTAATATTACAAACTAGAGTATATCTAAGTAATTAACTCTTAAATTAGTGGAATTTCGGTAAGTCGAATTGTCATCCCATGCAAACAATCCATTTTTAAACCCAACAATTTATTGATGGGCCAAAATAAGCCCAGCCCAGCCTAAACTATCCAAACCCAAATTCCAAAACAAGTCGAATTTGGAGAACTCACCGAAAGGTCTAATGGAATCTCATCAGCTTCGGAGCTAAAAAGCGATTCCGAAATATCTTCTCGTCGGAGCGGAAAAACGTCGCCGCAGCCTGAATCTTCTCTATCGGAGTCTACGGGAAACCCTTATTTCTCGACGGTGTATAGATTTCAGCACATTGACAGACAAAATCTGAGGTATACTTCTCCAAAACCCTAGATTTCTCGGAGTCTCCCTTGGGAGACTGAAATAGTTAGCAAACATGAGGATTATGATAAAGGGAGGAGTATGGAAGAACACGGAGGATGAGATTCTGAAGGCGGCTGTGATGAAGTATGGGAAGAATCAGTGGGCTCGTATTTCTTCTTTGCTTGTTCGTAAATCTGCTAAGCAGTGTAAAGCTCGCTGGTATGAATGGCTCGATCCTTCAATTAAGAAGGTCAGTTGTTTTTTCTATTGAATAAAGCTTGTTTCTGAGTCATATGATGTTGTTGTTTGGTAGCTAGTAGATACATGTATAAGTTATGAGATAATTGTTTTATTATCTTACTTGGGGTAGAAAATGGAATAACTACTACCTGCATTACTAGGGTAGAAGATGGAATAACTAATACCTGCATTACTAATACCAAATGAGCTCTAAATGTTTGTTCATTGGTTTTGGTAAAAGGTTATGTGAAAACTGTTTTTGATTGGTAATTTTTGCTGTGGAGAGGGTATAGAAGTAGGTGACATATGCTCATAGTACCAGCTGCAGGATAGGTATGAGTATAGGTTTGAGTGTTAGATTTTGACGAATCAATGTTCAAGTGCCAAGGTAGGGGTAAGGTCTGCATGAACTATACCATCATAAGACCCCACACGTGGGATTATACCGGGCATGTTGTTGTAATGTTCAATTGTTGATTCAAAAGAGTGTCAGGAAGTGTGTTAAAGATGTCTGAGAAGGAAACCAGTTAGTGTGAAAGTTATTTCCCCCCAAAATAGAGTAAAATATTTAACATTTTCCACAGACCCTGACAACCAATTATTTAACATTCTAGTTCACTGGGTGTTGTTTTTTTTTCTTGCTTAGTTTAATGCGACATGCGAGTTATCTTTCTTTGTAATGTGTGATACCGTTATGTATTTGTTGATAGCTGTCACATTTCAGATTTCATCCCATTCCATTGTGAACTAGAAAAGTTCTGTTTTGTGAGCATACTGTGGCTTTGCCCCAGTTTGTTTTTGGCTTGATTACTGGCATACAAGATCTGAAACTTGTTTTCTGTGTGGAGATTTCTGTCTGAGTTTTTTCAATCTTTTTCTGTTATTTCGTTTATCAATGACATCTAATGATTTTCTGAATAGAGAAAGTGGAGAAGTCACAGATTTTCAAGTTTACCTCAAGACTGTCAGTAGGAACTTATGTTTTAGCTTAACCACTTCTTGACACAACTTACTGCTATTTTCTTCCAGACTGAATGGACTAGAGAGGAGGATGAAAAACTACTTCACCTTGCAAAACTCATGCCCACTCAATGGAGGACAATTGCGCCAATTGTTGGCCGTACACCATCACAGTGCCTTGAACGTTATGAGAAGCTTCTCGATGCAGCATGTACTAAGGATGAGAACTATGATCCTAATGATGATCCAAGAAAATTGAAGCCTGGAGAGATTGATCCTAACCCGGAATCCAAGCCTGCTCGTCCTGATCCTGTTGATATGGATGAGGACGAGAAAGAAATGCTTTCTGAAGCACGGGCTCGGTTGGCCAACACAAGAGGCAAGAAGGCTAAAAGGAAAGCCAGAGAAAAGCAGCTTGAAGAGGCGCGAAGGCTTGCTTCTTTACAGAAGAGGAGAGAACTCAAGGCTGCTGGAATAGATGTCCGTCAAAGGAAGAGAAAAAGGAGAGGTATTGATTACAATGCTGAAATCCCCTTTGAAAAGAAGCCTCCTCCAGGTTTCTATGATATCACTGAGGAAGACCGTCCAGTTGATCAACCTAAGTTTCCAACTACCATTGAGGAACTGGAAGGTGAAAGGAGAGTCGATAAGGAAGCTCGCCTAAGAAAGCAGGATGTTGCGAGGAATAAAATTGCAGAAAGGCAGGATGCCCCTACATCCATATTGCATGCGAACAAACTTAATGATCCAGAAGCAGTGAGGAAGAGGTCGAAACTGAATCTTCCTGCACCACAGATTCCAGATCATGAATTGGAGGCCATAGCAAAGATAGGTATTGCCAGTGATCTAATAGGGGGTGATGAACTGTCCGAAGGGAATGCTGCAACGCGTGCTCTTCTTGCAAATTATGCCCAGACACCACAGCATGCAATGACTCCTATGCGAACACCTCAAAGAACCCCATCAACTAAGCAAGACTCTATTATGATGGAAGCAGAAAATCAACGAAGATTGACTCAATCTCAAACACCATTACTTGGAGGTGATAATCCTTTGTTGCACCCCTCAGATTTCTCGGGTGTCACTCCCAAGAAAAGGGAGGTTCAAACTCCAAACCCACTTTTAACTCCATCAGCGACTCCTGGAGCCACGAGCCTTACTCCTAGAATTGGCATGACACCTTCGAGAGATTCTTATGGGATGACACCCAAAGGAACTCCCATGAGGGATGAGCTACACATTAATGAAGAAATGGATATGCATAATAATGCTAAACTGGGGCAATTTAATTCAAAAAAAGAATTGCTTTCTGGTTTGAAAAGCCTTCCTCAGCCCAAGAATGAGTACCAGATAGTCGTCCAACAACCTCCTGAAGAAAATGAAGAACCAGAAGAGAAGATCGAAGAAGACATGTCTGATAGGATTGCCAGGGAGAAGGCTGAAGAAGAAGCAAAGCGACAGGCATTACTCCGTAAAAGGTCAAAAGTATTGCAAAGGGAGCTCCCTAGACCTCCCATTGCTTCTCTAGAACTAATAAAGAGTTCCTTAATGAGAGCTGATGAAGACAAGAGCTCCTTTGTTCCTCCTACACTAATTGAGCAGGCTGATGAAATGATTAGAAAGGAACTTGTGTCCTTGCTAGAACATGATAATACCAAGTACCCTCTAGATGAGAAGCCAGAGAAGGAGAAGAAAAAGGGGGTCAAGCGAAAAATTGTTGCTGAACCTGCTATTGAGGATTTTGAGGAAGATGAATTAAAAGAGGTATGTTCATGTTACAGAGAGAAAAAAATGGTTTCCTTTACATTTTTTGTCGATTTATTTTTAAAATGAGGGCAAAATCCCAAGTTAACTTTGTACTTTTGAGCAGAAGAGTTTCAAATACATGTAAGACTTGAGAGTTGGTGTCACATAATACTAGAAAAGACAAAAGAGTTGTCTAAATTCCATAGAAAGCATTTGGAAAGTATTTTTTTAACATTACCATATAACCTTTTTGTATAAGAATTTCTGAAACTATTCCTACAATTGCTGATAATCCTGAAATATGGCTGAAAGAATTGAAGATTACAATAGGTTCAATTGGATCATCCAATACTATATTTGTGAAGTTATATTTAACTGTATGTAGTGTATATGTAGTATATATATATATGTTATACTTGACTCCACACTACACAAACTAGCTTACATGCTCAACTTTTTAGACCCTACTGCAGTCATGACACTATATGTGGTGTCCCAGCTTTGTTTTTGGTATTTGTTGTTATGAGGACGAGTTAACTGAAACTGGATATTTGAGTCTTTAGTTAAGACTTCAGACACCAAAAAAATGCCAATGGTGAATAGACTCTTTGTTCCTTTTATTGTGTGCTAATAGATGTGCCCTTTTCATTACCAAATTTGTGTGCAAACAATGATGTTTTTTGGAGTTTGTATGATTTTATCTTGAGCCTACTGCATTATTACTAACTCCATTCGTGCAGGCTGATGGATTGATCAAGGATGAAGCTCACTTTCTTCGTGTGGCAATGGGACATGAGAGTGAATCTCTTGATGAATTTGTCGAAGTACACAAAACAACTTTGAATGATATCATGTACTTTCCTACCCGGAATGCTTATGGTCTCTCAAGTGTTGCTGGAAACATGGAAAAGCTGGCTGCTTTGCAGAATGAGTTTGAGAATGTGAAGAAGAAAATGGATGATGATACTAAGAAAGCAACAAAACTTGAGCAAAAGATCAAAGTTCTTACTAATGGATATCAGGTACAATTTAGTGGTTTAATTGTTTAATCTGAATTAGTTGCCGCATCCTGTACATTTTTCTGTTTACTTCATTTGCTTAGAGGTTTTATTGCAAGGCATAGTTTTGTATCACTTCTGCAATCAGACAGGTTTCTGGTTCTTACACTGGATCTATTTTTGGCTACTCTAGTTTTTTGTTTGTTTTTCTTTTTTGACTATATGTTGAGAGTTGTGATGTAAGCTATAAATTCGAGCTAACTATTCATTGTGGATGAGCAGATACGAGCTGGAAAACTTTGGTCACAGATAGAGTCAACCTTTAAGAAAATGGACACTGCAGGGACAGAGCTTGAATGCTTCCGAGCATTACAAAAACAAGAGCAGCTAGCAGCATCCCACAGGATCAACAATATGTGGGAAGAAGTTCAGAAGCAAAAGGAGCTTGAGCGTACTTTACAGAAAAGGTACGGTGACCTCATAGCAGATACGCAAAAGATCCAGCATCTCATGGATGAGTATAGAATACAAGATCAAATGCAGGAAGAAATCGCAGCAAAAAATCGTGCTCTTGAGTTGGCCAAGGCAGAAATTGCAGAAAAGGAGAGTATACCATCTGCTGATGATGTGGAACCTTCAGGTACCGTACAGTGCTCCAATACAGAGGAAAATTCTGCTTCTGCCTCTCATGTACCAATAGAAGCTGATGTGCATGCAGAGCCTTCAGGTACCGACCAGTGCTCTAATGCTGAGGAAAATTCTGCTTCTATTGAAGCTGATAATGTGCATGTGGAGCCCTCAGGTACTAGCCAGTGCCCCATTGCAGAGGAAACTTCTGCTTCTGTCTCTCATGACACAACTCCTCAAGACGTTGAGGGACAGGTGCAAGTGGCTGACGTTTCCACAATGGATGCTGAAGCCCTAAGTGACCATGTACCTATGGAGGGTCAGCAAAACCTAGTAGAGGAGAGTAATACAGATGTCACTAAAACAGAAGACTCTACAGTAGCAGCAGGTGACGTGGATACTAAAACAGACGACTCTGTAGTAGTAGCAGGTGATGGTGAGGCTGATCCCAAAAACATGTAAGGTTCTACCGAGAAAGTGGTTGGTTGTTCGCTTGTTCTGTAATCCTGTTTTCCTACATTTTTGGAACCAAGTTTTGCTTCATTTCAAGAATATGTTGTATGGTTGGATGAAAATTCGAAATTGTCAAAATTTGAACTGTGGTTTAGCTACCTATGCTGGTATTTGCAAAATAATGAAACTGCATTTGCCTACCCTTTCCAATTTTTCTTGGGAATCAACTCTTTAGGTCCTTTATTCACTGTCTTCTATGGCTAGTTGCTTCTGGGTTTGTGTTACTGTAAATGTGAGCTTAGCTTTAACAAGTTTTCTGGTTAAAATTGAATGTTGTGGTTAACATTACTGTAAAAATAGCTTCTAATTGCAATTGATTTGGTTCCTTTCCCAACTTCCAAAAGACATGTATGTTCTTAAAAGGCAGAAATTTGTTTGACTATAAGGTCATCTTTTAATTGTAATGGCAACATTCAAATGGACACAAAGTTTCCAAGGTTATCATTCTGAGTTACTTGATATGTATTGGTGGGAAATAGTATAAATTTTGGTGGAATGGTTTGAGGTGACAGAGAGGTTAGGTTGTTGATAGGTTATTTGATATTTGTACAGATGCAACTATGCAAGATAGTAAGTATCTGATGAAATAATTGAACATAATATGTATCATTAGAATAGGTGATGAGAAGGTAGAGGTAACAGGGTAGTAGGTAGAGTTGCGCAATATCTAGAATAGTGGAAAAATAGTTGAGATATCTAGTGAACTAGTTCAGATGATGAAAATATAATAGATGTCTAACAAAATAGTTATGGTGAACGCAAGCTAACTAGGTGATGAAGAGGTAGTATGTGTCCCACTAAAATACATGTGGTTGGTGTAAGTTGACGAGGTGGTGAAGTGGTAATAGGTAGAGTTATTCAAATATCTAGAATAGTGGAAAAATAATAAATATTTCTAGTGAAATACCTTCGAATAATAAAAATATAGTAGGTGTCTAATAGAATAGTTATAGTGAGGATAAACTAGTGTGGTGATAAAGAGGTACTATGTGTCCACAAAAGGATAAAAATCATTCCGGCCAGAATAATTTGGCCATAATGGCCCAAACACATATTCACACTATAAACTAATTTTTATTTTGACAATTATACCATTCATTGTCAAATATACATTTTTTTTATCAACTTATGTATTAATTATGTTTCAATAAATGAGAAAGTTTTTCGATATATAGAAAATTGACTAATTTTCATATTTCTCTAACTTCCACACATATATGGTTTTTAATTTCTTTTAGAAATGTTATAAAATGACCAAAGACCAATACGTATGTATTTTTTTTTCCTTTCTAACTAAAAATCTATAAAGAATACAAAAATTAAATGGATAATTAGAAAAAAATAAATTAAAACTTAAATTACAAAATAAGCTCACTCATAAAATTAAATTCAAACTAATTTTAACTCACACTCATCTTCTTGTAAAGTCTATCATAGATGCGTCGATTTTTTCGCAACTATAAAAAATAAATTACAAATATGATCTCAAAAGAAAATAATTTTTTTTCTTTTCTCTCTTTTATTCCATTCTCACTCTTTCTTTTTATTTTTTATTTTTTTAAATAAAAAATATTCATAAAATGATAAGCGAATAAATCCACACAAATAAGATATTTAATACTAAAATTAATCTTTGAAATAATTTTTTTTAAAAACAAATCACTTGTGAGAAGTGTCAAATATATTACTGAACTTTGTGAGATGGATCATATATCCCTATATGAATTTTGTTTTAATAAAAAAATAAAATAAATAATTTTTATAAAAATCAAGCAATATGTTAAAAATTGACACATTATAAAAATTATTTAATTTATTTTTTATATTTAAATATTATTTAAAATTATACCAATAATGATATTTAAAACTCAAAACACTTTAGACATGGTGAATATCAATACATTATAAAAATTATAAAAATCATATAGTTTATATGTATTGACCCTAGTTAATAGCAACCCAAGATGTTTCGCGTCCATGTGTTGTGCCTATTTAATAACTTGAGATTGATTACTTATATTTATAAAGTATTAATATAACCTCTAATTAAGTAATTTTATTAATTATTATATTTAATAAATTTAAATCATATATTTAAAATAATGTAAATAATGATTGTTTACGTTATATCAAATCAAGAAATTTTTGTATATATATTTTTAATCATTTGCTTGATTAAGTTATATACTCTTCAATCTTGATAATTACAGTTAATAGAATTTTTTGATTATATAATTAAAAATATGCCTACATAAAGTTAATAGAATTTATTGATTATTTATATATATGATTTTATTGATATTTAATTAAGAATTGGGCTTAAATATTTATAAGCATATACAATACATACATATGCATATGATTTTATTTTTATTTTTGTTTTTATTTTAAAACATCTTCTTAATTAATATAATTGAATAAATAATTATATATTCGTGGTTAGAAATGGATAAATTTAATAATTACTGCAAAAATAATTCCATTTTCAAATGCTTGAATGGGATGATTCAATTGTAATACATATTGATTATTTTTTAAATTTAAAGTTTAAAGTTTAAATGGCTATTTTGTTATTTTACTGAAAATTAATACTTTCTTTTTTCTAATATATTTGTCTTATTCTCTTTTTTTAGTATGTTACGACAATAATGGTTTTTTTTTTACAACTCTTTAATTCTTTTACTTTCTTTTTTTTAGTGTATGTTATGAAAAGAAGTTTTTTTTTTTTTTTTTGACAACTCTTTAATTTTAACTCTTCAAATGACATGTAAGTCTTTAAGAGGTCGTTTGGTTTGAAGACAAGTTATGTTGGGATTAATGATAATTGAATAAGTTATGTTGAAGTTATTTTTTATTGGTTGTTTGGTTTTGTCAAGTATATGTGACATAGTTTTTAAAATTAAGTTGTTTGTTTACAAAAATATCCTCTGAAAATAATTTTTTTTTTATAAAAGAGGTCTAAGGGGGTACTTTTATTATTTTACATTTTTATCTCGAGATAAGTTATATCGGGATTAGTATTTCACCCACAAGTAAGGATAACTTATCTCAGTCATAATTATTAATCTTGTGAAAGTTATCTCATACTTTGTAACCAAGCAAAGAATTAAAGAGTACTAAAAACTTATCCCTGAATTATTTTTCTTTATCCATCACACTAAACGATCCCTAAGATTTAGGATTAGAAGACATTTGTTACATTTTATATATCTTTAATTTTAAATTATAAAATTCAAAGGCTTTTTTTTCGTCTTTAACTTCGTACTAAATTAAAAAACGATTATTATGTTTCGAAAATGACCTTTGATTCTTGCCCACTTAATTGAATCAGATGCAAAAAGTCATAAATGACTGGCCATTATACCAAGTGTTCGTGATTAACCAATCCAAAAGAAAAGACAACAATAAATAAATAAATAAATAAATGAATGAATAAAATAAAATAAAATAAAATAGAGCAAAAATAAATTTCTAATGGACAAGAAAGTTCTTACTTCCAAAACCAAACACGTCATTAAGTAACTCTACTATTTGGGCCAAGTAGGCAAATACCAATTTCTCCATCTCTTTCGAATTTTTAAAATAGACACATGTATCGTACGTGTTACTATCTACTCCAATCTCATATAAGAGTTTATCGATGTTTCTGTTAGTTGTTGGTAACTCACTGCGTTGTCAGAGATCACTATGCATAATTTAAAAACACATACATTAAATTGAGTTAACCACACATATATATATATGATCTCTTTACGTTACATCTATATACAATCAACTTCTACTTAGAAAATACATACACATACAGTTTGTCATAAATACATTCAGGTTTCGCTTTGAAAACACAATATCACATACTTAATACAACTAGCCACGCATACATGCTATAGTTATAAACATACATTGTATCCGAGCGATTTCAATGATATTATATGCGTGTTAATATAATATATTTAGTTACGTTTTGAAATCAAAATGCATGTACATTTTATAACTAAAGAAAATTTTACTACGAGTATTTTTTATATATCTAGACGCAAATAACGTTATTTAAAGAAATTTGTCCCTTTCAAATTATGCTTTTATGATTGTGGGCCCAAAAGGTGGAATGAAAAGCCCAAATGAAATTATAATTCCAGATTCGTTGGAGGTAGGCTCTTTCTTTATCTTCCAGCTCAGGTTAACATCATAAAGTTTTCAAAACATATCTTCTGACTTTTTTTCACACACAAAAAATCAAATAATAATATTAAAAATAAATTATGGTATTTCAAGTTGAAATTTTTAGGATTAAAAAAAATAGTTATGGTAATCTAGTTGAGCCATCAATTATCTTATGTGATTATTCATGTATTATTTATTCATTGCTTAACGATTTCGATTTTATTATGTGTAATAATCTAGGTATTATGATTATGTATAATAAAAAGAGTTGTTCATGATTATTAATTTCTATTTAGATTGTAAAAGGTTATGTTAACTATTTTCTATTTTTTCCACTTTTATTTAATTTATTGGATAAATTTCATATCTAGTCACACACATGACACAACTCACACTATAGAGCAAATGTGGAAAGATATTGATGGAGTAATAAATATTATCATAGTGCTTAAATGTTTATTCATATTAATCTAGTAAAAATTAAAAATAAAATAAAATATGGTTGAATAATCTTTTCTTTATTAAGAAAAAAGATGATAAATCTGTTTATCTATATTAATCTAGCAAAAAATAAAGAACCTTTAAAAATACGGTGAAAGAAGCTTTTTTCTTATCATTGTTGAATGATGAAGTAATAAATATATTATAATGCTCAATGGTTATATATATATATATATATATATATATATATATATATATACATAT